CTGTCTGTGCACCAGAACTGGCTGCAAAACATCCGTCTGATCGAAAATCTGACCCCATGGGCTCCCTCACTGTCCCATAACACTGATGATGATCCATCTGGTCAGTCATAACGGACTCGCCTCACGAATGAACGAAGAATGGCAGAGCAAATAAATAAAGAATGGCAGGAATGTCAACAATGTCCCAATGTCCGGCACTGCGTCCCAAATCCCGGCACAACTGATGAAACTGATTGATGCTGATAACTGATACTGAGGTAGACCGTAGGCTGACCGCACGGAGGTCCAACCCTGGGTATATCCCAGAGCGTAGTCCCTAATATCGCTCAGAGAAGCCCCAGGATCCACCAAATGACGTCTCCAAGTCAGTGGGTACTATACTTCCCCAACCAACAAGGTGCCAAGTGGCTTCACCACAACAGTTCCAGAACAGCCCTTTACAACCGGTTTCTTCCTAGGTTAGCAACAGGGAATTTAAGAATACTCAAAGAGTACTTTACTCACCCCTCTAAAGAGAGGCTTCCCTGCCACACCCCCGGGAATGCCACCAGTTGATCAGAAACTGAACCTTTCCTGTCCCCCTTGCCTGGGGAGGACTTCCGGGGAACGGCCACACAACTGCCTCACGTCCCGACCCGCTCGAAGCCCCTCCGCCACACCTCGCCCGGATGGCAGCTCGGGGGCACTGGTCTAGGCTAGGAGCAGTAGAAGTGTCTGCGCAGCACTATAGGCCGCTCTTCTACTGTCCTGTGTCGCGAGCGATAGGCACCAAGAGCTCCCCCTCTGACCGCCGCCTGGGGGGCTATGTAAGGTGCAAGCCGGTCCGTGTCCCGTCTACCCACTTCTACTTGCACCCCCCTAACAACTGTGGGGCGGCCGCCAGCTTCAACCTGGGGTCAGCCTTTTTTCTGGATAAGGTACTGTTGCCACCAGGCGGGCCTGTAACCCTTCACAGTTGTCTAGGCTGGTCAGGTACAGTCCGTGACTTTCAGCCCTTCGCCCCCCGACCTCCTGGCCAAATGCCCTAATGGAGTGGGACGGCCCCCAAACTAACACTGGCCCGCTCGGAGGGCCCTGGGCCTGGTGCACTGGCACCCTACTGGCCTCTGTAGATCAGGCTCTGGTGTTATGGCACCCTACTGAGCCTCTTGGGGAGCTGTCGTACTCCACACAGAATCGTTGGGCGAATGTAGGGGTTGTCAGCTCCAGTCGCCGAGATGCTGCTATCCACCAGCTAAGGGGATTTATGGACCCCTCAGCTGCTCCAGAGAAGCTGCTGTCTGCTGCTGTCCACCCACTGAGAAGGATAAGGGACCCTCTCAGCTACTCCAAGGAAGCTGCTCCTATGGCACTGCTCTCCACCCGCTAAGGAGGTCAAGGATACCTCCTCAGCTGCTCCAATGCAGATGCTAGGTAGTCAGGCCACATCTTCGGGTAGTCAGAAACTTCCTTAGAGGCTCTTAGAAGTCGCCTTTCCAGCTCCACTTGGGTCCCAGTACTTAACAGTACTGTGCAGGGGTCGCTATTGCACACCCCCTGCCGCCAGGCCCCCTCCAGGGGTCGCTATTCCACACCCCCGGCAGCCAGCACCCCCCAGGGGTCGCTATTCGGCACCCCCCCGGGCGCCCGTACTGGCCATGGGCGCTATTCGGCACCCACCCGGCGACCTGACTCGTCCGACACGCAACAGACCCCCTCACGTCACTCCGGGGTCGCTTCTCACCGCTTCCGCTGTCACATCACGCCCGACACGCAGTCCAGTCAGCCACTGCGCAGCCGGGGTCGCGGGACGGGCAGTCAGTCCGCTCCGCCGCTGCGCCTCACCCCCCTCCGGGGTCCTGGCACTCCTCGCCGCCCGACCCGACGGCCCACGCGGCCGATTGCGCCAGCCCGCGCCTGGCCCTGGCGCTCCCGATCCGCGCCTTCACACCGCCGGTCACGGCGCGCGATTCCGCGGCGATGCGCCGCTCCAATCGACCCGTCCGCGGCGGACTCCGCGGGGAGATTCTTCCACCCCCGCCGGTTCCTTTCTCAATGCAACAGCATGCGCCTCCCCCCACGGGGCCGGGCGCGCGGTCTGGTCACCGATCCGGGCCGATTCAGGCCGCACCCCTCACGGGTGCCGTTGCCTGGCCGGCCGATGTCCCCAAGATCCGATCGAATGGGGGGCCCCCTCGCGGGTGGGGCTCCCCCCTCTTGCTCTCGCGCCGCGTGGCGCGCTTCCGCCGTCCGCGTCCGCCAGCTCCGAAACCACTTGGCGTGGTTTTCGGTGTGTTCGCGGGCGATGCTCCCGCCGAGGCGCCCGATGGGGCCGCGGGGCCCCCTCCGCCGGATGGCCGGCGGGCTTTGCGGGGCGCTCGTCTTCTTCGGATGCGCAGTGTGGGCCCAGGCCTGTGGATTGGCCGGGCGCGGGGCGGCCGTACGCGCAGTGGGTGCGCGCGGCGCCTTGCGGCCTGCGGGTGCAGCCGCTGGGAGGCGAGAGTGGGCACAATGGAATTACAGGCTGTCGTGCGGGGTCGGTCACATGACCCCCGCACGCAGCGGTACACAATCGACAGAACAGTATATCGAATGTACCCGTATCGATAGTATCTCATCCCCGAGTACGGTAGGGGTCCAACCTTAAGTACTGGAATTTCTATAAGCCATAACTCCACTACCGCTAACCCGTTTGGGATGATTCAAAGACCTATGGAAAGCTAATAGCCTCCTCTGTCCCATTTAGGTACAATCTCATGTCCATTATCACTTCCCAGTACCTAAGTTGAGTAAACCGGTTACCCCCTAGTAGTTTACACAATACCCTCTCCGGAGGTGTCGCAGGGCCACCACAGCCCCCGCGGCTTTGGATGTGCTTCCATGACTAGGTTGCTTAGTTGGGTTGGGTTACGAGAGTGTGTCGCGGACATTATCGTTCACTTTGGGTTGTCTTGCCATATATCGTTAGCCATAACTGGCCCCACACGCCCCATATCCCATATGATTCAACTCCCGTTGGCCACGGCTCCCCCGTACTGGAGTCCCATGCCAGGGCAATCTGGGCCTCACGGGGCACCAACTTGTCACAACTAATGAGCATATTATTGAGCCATAATGTGCTCATTATTGGTGACCCGAGCAGTAAAAAATAAGCAACGATTCGTATTCTAGCGCCCACTTTGCGACGGGTTGCAACTGCTAGGGAGTGTCACTTTTCCGTTCAAATGGTGCCGAAACACTTGCCCTCCATCATTCAGGCCGCTGACGAAGTGAAGCACTATGTAGAGGGCCAGCCTGCGCCCATGCTACGAAAGTGTTATGCCCATTATTTAGCCATTTTTTGAAGAAGGAAGCTTGTTATTACGTTTGAATGTGAGTACGAATGGTGTTTGCACCATAAATAACAATCTTGCAAAGAAATACCGTTGTCTTGTATGCCTCTTGTAGTTGTTTAAGCCCTCGCAGAGGTCATTCATGCAAGGTTGAAATTCGTCATCGTCAAGAAATCTTACGAACCACTGTCAAGCCTGGAATGGGTTGCAATCGATTTTATCTCAGCACACTGGCAGAGACGCGAGACGCGCCTCTTCTTTACCCCGGTAGGGCAACAACCGCGGCTCCCAGGTCATTTCCAACTGGGAAGCATCTATGCTCGGCTTCCATGGACACAAGAATGCCTAGAACGCCTGCCAAAATCGCGGTTTCACAGCCCCAATTCTGGCACGCAGACCTGCCAGAATTGCCGGCTCCCCAAAGGGCACCATGCCTTGCCGCGCCGGATTTCACTAGTGAATAAGTATGGTCGATGGTTGCGCACAACCCAATTTTCTCGACACTGGCACACTAACACAGCGCCAATCTTGTGTGCCACATCAAACACGTCCTGATACCCGCGAGCTTTTCCCCGGCCCTGGCCCCTTGCGTGTTTGTTGACGTGTTGTGGACAGGTCGCTCCCCCAGGCGTTTGAATGTCTGACTCGCCCGGTTCAACTACTCCTAATAGGAAAATGATGGCGGGCAGGTTTCGGTGCGCGCGTACATGCCGCTGTTGTTGTTGGAGCCGCGAAGTTGACTGGTTTACGGTTCTCGGGGTTGCCCTCGGCAACTTGAGCGAACTAGGCGGCATGCACCATTAGTCTGGTGAAGTGGAGACCCAGGCGTGCCTGCCTCGAAGGGGCGAATCCAAGTCTCGGAAAGGATTGCCTGGTGCGAGCAAGCACCCCGCGGCGCCGGCACGGCGTGACAGACGGGAGAGGCGAAAATGAGTGCACAGGCGGATGCGGTGGGTGGCGAAGTGTTGACAAAAACCTCACGCAATAGTGTGCACGGCGCGGAACTCGGTCGGTAGAGCAGTGCATGTTTCACAGGCACGACCTGGGGATAGCAATTGGCCCAGAGTGCGGCACGCTGGCCATGCATTGTCGCTGTCAGCTCTACTGGCAACGGTGGTGTCCAAGGTTAGTTTTCTTTGATCGCGCCGCGAGCCTTGAGTTTTGGTGGTTGATTTAATCCAGTTGACACAACGACCAAACCAAAGGGGAGGTATTTAGCTGTCCGGTTTACTGCACTACAGATGTTGATGCGGGAGCATTGTTTGGCATGGAGCTGCGCCTCCTACCGTCACTGCTCAAAACACCATGGTCCCAGCGGCAATCGATGCTGTTGATTCACCGCTTGGTCTCCTGTTATTCTACACTTTGTATAGTCAGCTTTGTATAGTATCCTGAGATCGACTGGCCTCACTGGGCTTTGCATGCAGCTCCCCCAGTCATTCTGACGCCATGTCCCTGTGCAATAGCTGTGCCCCAAGCATAGCTCTTTTTTATGCTGCCCACTCCATCCCACGCCTCTGCTGTTGTTTTTCTTTGCCTGCACATTGGTGGGGTAAGGACGTTTGTGGTTTTGCCACTTTGCTGTTTTTGTCTGCACAGCAATTGGCAAGACTCATGAGTGCCTCTCAGTCTTGTCATGTGTGCTGGGCTGTTGCATGTCTTTGTCAGAACATTCCTTGTCCATTGCAGGCCGTTGGGGCCGCAGCAGGCTCGTCACATCGTCTGGAGGAATACTACACAGCTGTTGTCAAGGTACCGGGACTTTGGAGGTTGGGGAGCTGCTCGTGTGTCAAATTGTCGCCTCAGTTCCATTGTTGGTACATGAAATGTGAGAATTTCTGTTGTCATATTCTACCTTAGGTTGGCCTGAAGGTAGCCAATTCACTTTCAAGCGTCAATTCTCAAGTTGGATTGTGCTGGTGCTCATGATGTGTGCCAATGCGTTGACAGGGAACAAGCCTCATGAAATTTGGAAGATACGGGGCCCCCAAGCTGCACTTCTTCAGACTGGCAGCAGATCGCCATTACTTAGAATGGGAATCAAGGGTGCAGTGTGTTGTCAGTTGTGTGTGCGAACACATCCTTTGTGCAGGGCTTTTGTAACAGTGGAGCTTGCCTGATGGATTCCTACGAATTGACTCAAATTAAATCTGAATTTCAATATTTGAATCTGATTACCTGTCGGCAGGGGTCCAGGAAGCGAGTGAATCTGTTGGTTGTCCATCGTGTGCTGCGTGGTCAATTTACCCCTGTCTTCATCAAAAACACCAGAAACGGACAAGTCAAAGTCTCACCGGAGCTCTCCTTTTCCCTCCTCTATCGTCAGAGGTGAGGAACGTGCATCAGGTTCTTGGTAACCTGGTTTTGCTTCTTGTGCTTGTTCTTGTTCTGAATGCAGCACTGGCCACACCATACAGCATATTATCCATTGAACCATGTGTGAAAGAACTCATTTGCCCGAATGTGTGTTGCTGTGTATCTGTAGGGGAGAAGATCGAAGCTTGGACCTTGTTTGCAAAGATGCAGACGAGTTTGGCCTGTGGTTTAATGGCATAAAGCTCATCATTGAGGACCTCAAGAGTAAAAAGGCATTGCCTCCAGGTCAGATTGCCTCCCTACAAGGTGGAACCTACAGCAACTGTGTGCAGGGATATGTAACCTCGCTCGTACTTTGAGACACTCTGTACCTGCAGGAAATACTGCAAAGAGAAACAACACAAGTGTGCACTCCTTGCATATTGCGCATATTCTGAACATCTGCTATCTGCAGTGGAGGTCTGCCCTCACAGAACGTGTGTTGTGGAGAAGAGATACAGAACTTGTAATTCATATGTTTCACCGAAAGCTGACATAGTGCCATAAATGGCGTTGGTTGGATAGTGATGTATCCTGCAAATGGACAGAGTGTGTTTTGCTTGTTTTTGACATCTTTTTTCTTGCGGCAAATGGGACAGGTGTACCTCCAGATGATGCACCAGGCTCTAGCGTTGTGCCAGGCCCTGCTGTTTTTCCACCAAAAGATGCTCCACCTGGTGATTGCTACATGTGGGGGGGGCCTCCAGCAGGAGAGGAGCAAGAGGTGATTACAGTTCAGCTGTTGTTGCCCAACATTCGATGTGGAGTCCTGCTCCAGTTCCTTATGGGTTCATTGGTTCCTGGAGCTCAACTGTGTATCCTTGATGTGCTGTTCTGGTTTTCCCATCGACAAGTGATTGGAGTGAGATGGCTTCTGTCTTGTATATGTTCAGGCAAGGGCTGTACTTGGTGACAATACACCCCTCAATTTTGTAGTTCCACGACTGGTCCCCTCTGCTGAGAGACTGGATATTGAGAAGGCTTCATGTGGCCCACATCACTTTGCCTGCATCACAAGAAACGGGCATTTATACACATGGGGAAACGGCTCATGTAAGTTGTCGGGTGACGAAGAGGGTAGTGAATCTGGTGCAATCTTGCTGTGATGCAGTGGTGCTTGAGTGCTTGCCATGGCAGTTGATACAAACAAGTAGGCTTGCACAAGGCTCTTGTTGTTCTTCATCTTGCGGTATTGCTTTTTCAATTGTATGTGCATAAAGAAGAATCATTGGTCATTTTCCTAAACCCACACACTTGGGAATCTTAGCAAGCTGTTGCAATAATAGTTTTGCCGACAACACTCCCTTCACCATAAGTTTCAGAAGCTTTGAACATGGCAGCTAAGTTGCTGTGGGTACATTGTTGATATTGGTGGTGATGTCGCTTGGAGCATGATTGCTGGAAAGCGCTACCTTTTCCATCCTATTCCAGTCATTCTCCAAAGAGGTCTGCAGCCCAGAAGCCAAGCACTGAATATGCCATTGTTGTCCACCTGGACGTTTGGTTTGGATGGTTTGATTGTTTGGTGAGGAATGATGGTGGTATTATGGACATCTTGTTGCTGTGCACAGGTGGCCGACTGGGACTTGGAAGTGTCCAGCATGCAAACACACCTTCAACGGTGTATGGTCTCTTTGACATGGCAAGTGTGGGATACATGTCTTGTGGCGAAACCAGCACGGCTGCCATTCTCAAGGATGGGGCTTTATTCACCTGGGGAGGGGGTCTGTCTGGACAGCTGGGCCATGACAACATAGCCACACAGTATTTGCCAAGAAAAGTGGAGAGAGGTCTATATGGTGTACACATTGTTCAGGTGCGGAGTGTGAAGGCTTGTGACTGGGAAGGGCTGGTCGTTGTGCATAGCTACAAGGATATATGTGAAGCCACAGTTTGAAAGCCATTGTTGGATGCACAACCCCCAACCAGCCCAACAATCCCTTTTCCTTTGAAGGCAGCCCCTACCATTCTGGAATTGAAGCTGTGATGGACATTCCTGTTGCTGTATCCCTCAAGTTTGTTTTGATTTTCAGTCATGTTTGACTTCCTGTGGTGTTTTCTCGTTCACAGGTTTCCTGTGGCCCTTACCACACTGCAGCTGTGTCCAACTTGGGCATCTTGTACACATGGGGTGATGGACTCTGTGGCAAACTTGGCCATGGTGACCAAATATCCAAGTACACTCCACAGCCTGTGGAGGCCTTGTATGTGGGAGAGGTCAAATGGGTGTGCTGTGGCTGGTGGCACACAGCTGCGGTTGTGATGGCAAACGAGCACAAAGGTAATTGCATTTAGGCTAGCAACCAGATTAATTCACAATTTGTGGAAGCCCTGCAGTGCCGTCAGTTGAAAAGTGAAATGGCACTGTTCCCACACGCTGGCAGGCAAAATCGGGCAGATAGTTTGTCACTGTGTAATGACGAAGTGGTCATTGTGAGTGGAATCCATTCTGCATTAATTCTTGTTATTTGGTCCCTGTATTTGTGTTGGTCTGATTTGGCTGTACATGTGTTGGCAGGTGGTGCTCTGTACACTTGGGGAGGTGATTTCACTTGGGAAAAAGACCATAATAGGGGCTGTTTGGGAAATGGAAGCACAGATGGGTCATCAGTACCAGTAAGGGTTGAAGGGGATATGGAAGAACTGGATGTCAAGCATGTGGCTTGTGGTCTCAACCTGACAGTGGCTCAAACATCCGATGGTCGTGTGTTTCAGATGGGTGAAACTGGCGCCGGTGACACGTTTGTGAAATGGGAAGGTTCCAAACTCCCAGAACAGGTCAAAGGAGGTCTGACAGGTCACAAAGCAGAGGAGATTGCATGTGGACGCAAGCATGTTTGTGTCGTTGCTACCCCTTTGACGGCAAGTGGCAGGGCAGATGAAGCAAGACGAAGGACAGTACTGTTTGCATGGGGAAAGGGTGACAAGGGTCAGCTGGGCCTTGGATATGCAAAAGACCACACATCACCACAGGTGGTGGAGGCACTCACAGCCAGGAGGATCCAGCAGGTAGTTCTCATGAATGTTGAATGGATTTCCAATTGCCAACAGATCCTGTTCACACTCATGGATTTTGTGATGTGCACTCAACCTTGCACATGCATTGTTTGCAGCTATGCTCATGGTGAACCCACAGGGCAGATGTTGCTGTTATACAAAGGGTCACAATTCTAACAGACAGTACTAACTCTGGAGTAAGCATACAAATTGTTTCCCACTTCCATGGGCTTCATTTGTCCACAATACATGAAACAAGAAACAAGAAACAATTGAGTGGAGGAAAACTATCCAAGACATGAGTGCACGTGGCCCAGTACCACTGTTCTTCACGCCAACCATCCCAAGAGTGGCAGAGAGATTCGCAGCAAGGCTTGCACAGCAGAGAGAAATTGCGGAAAAGGAAACATTATGATCTCAAGGAAATTGCCATTTGAGCATGCATGATTGAATCCCTTGCATCGCCAATCTGTGCAACACTGAGTGTCAAAAAAGACAATTTTGTGACATTTGCATGCTTCAAAACATAGCTGGAAATTGAAGGCTAAGAAATGACAATTTAGACACCTCCACAGGACTGTGACACCCAAGTAGCAACTTGCCTTCCTCAAGCACTATTCCTGATATGTGGAATGGTGTGAGCAATCAATGAATGTGTTTGCAACTGTCAGAAGGAATTCCTTGATACGGACCAGTCACGGCATCTGCAGGTGCACAAAAAGAAGATCACAACTCAGTAACAAAGAAATGTGCAACAAGCGCTCTCTGCTAATGTGACAGACGTTTGTTGGTACAAGGAGTTGCCAGCTGAACAGCTCAAGGAAAGGCAAGTGCTCGATGGTGCTGAGACATACCACAGACTAATTGTGTGTTAAATCTACTGGTATGTTGCTCATGGCAGCCAGCAATTGATTGTGTTGTTGCTGCTGTGGAGTCCTCGCTCAAAATTGTCCTGCCTTTCAGGTTTGCTGTGGGGGTGATTTCACTCTTGCTGTGTGCCGCTATGATGCCCGCATGGCTGCTGCAGCCTCTAACATGGTATCAGACCCTATGCCGACAACACCACATGGATTGTCTGCACGCAAGCCTGGTAGTCAGCAGCAGCCATTTGGATTCAAGCCTGCGTTTGCTGCATCAAGAAACAGAACAGGATCTGCAGAGAGCAATTCAGTGGATGCAAAACTCAAGAGGCCACCCGATTCTGGCAGGACACAGGCAAGTGTGCCAGTTCAATTGTGAAATTCCTGTAAGGTTGTATCCCTAATGTAAGCATTGGACCATGCACGTTGTGTTTTTGGGAGCATTGGTGTTTCAAACTTGTTGTGGAAGCACCCAGTACAATGCAGTGTTTCCTTGTGTTGCTGTTGTTGTCCATATCAACAATTTAAATTCAGCATACCGATGTGTGGATTTGGCCGCAGGGAAAGCAAGTTGTCAGAGCAACAAGCTCAAGATCAAGCAAGAGCTCAGCCTATAATTCCGCTCCGTTCTATGAATTTTGCCCCACACAACCATCAGGACCATCGTCTTCCCCTCCACCAGACCCGCACAGTGGGTATCCTGCATTGGATTATGGCAGTGCTGGAACAGATGCAAGTGCAGGCGGTGGCAACCTGCGCCAAGCAGCAACAGATGAAATGCTAACACCAAGGCACCACTCCACACTGAGTGCCGACTGTGCAATCCCTGATTATGGAGAGACCACACCAAACCACTTCTTTGATTCAACACCTGCTGGAGGAGACTGGAACATGTTACAAAACTATGGACAGGTACTACTTGGGGGACATGCATGCTGGGCATGCAAACCTGCTTGCTGCATGTTGGATTCATAAAAGCAAATCGTATTTGTTTGCAGTTTTCTTTGCAGCCATCAAACATGGGCTGCAAATGTCATTTCTTGGCTGAATTATGCAGGATGACCATGCCAAATCCTCAATCGCTTCTTCATCTTGCTCTCATGGTGCTCACTATTGTCTGGTGATATTTTCCTTCTGCTGTGTTGCAGAATGCCAGTGGTGTGCACAATGACTTGCTGGACAGTGGTGTCAATGGTGCAAGCACCGTTGATTCTGATGAAAGCCCCAGAGAGCAGGGCAGAAGGGGAGATCGTGGAAGCATGAGCGATAATTCAAGTGCAGACACTGTGGGAAGCAACGATGGCAGACTACCAAGGGACCCCAATTCAGACAATGATCTGGAACCTGCTGAATGCAGGTGAGTAGTGCATATGACTGTGCTGTATGGTAGTTTCATGGATGCATGGAAATCCGCTCTCCATCTCTATTGATGAAGACCTTACCAAGTACGGAACACTGGTCAACTGATAATAGATTTCTGTAAGCAGCTGGGCTTCCAATGCATACTTGCATTGCCAAACCTCTACATCTGAGGCAGTTGAGCCGCAAAGCTGACTTAGTCAGTTTGTGTGCCTGTGAATACAGTGTGTTCAAATGACATGCCTGGTTTATTGCCTCATCTTTACAGTCTTTCCTGAATGTTTCTCTGCATACAGCCCAAGAAGAGGAGAGGGCCTTGGCGGAACCAAACACCTGCACGATCATCCATCGGCACGAAGCCATGCCTTGCCTCCAACTGCCAAAATGGCATCAAGAGCTAGGCTATTGTCAAAGCGAGCCCAGATGATGCAGGCTGCATCAGAGTCCTGGGGTCGGCCAGGGGGGGCGCCTTCCCTGCACACAGGAAACTCTGAGGCCTACTCATTGGACCGATGGGGTGACGGGCACACCACTGGAGACGACTCAGGCCATGGGAGGGGATATGAAAGAGGACAAACATATGCAGAATTCTCAAGAGACATGTGGGACATGAAAGAAAAGGATATACCTGCGCTTGAAAGGAGGGGTCAAACAATGACTGAGTTTGACAGGAGGTGAGAACCTGTTGGCGGCAGCAGAGTGGATCATGCCTTCTGTTCAACCAACATATGTGGTTCAAGCTGCTGAATTGGCCACGGCATCTTGATGTGTGTTCTGATATGTGCAGCTGATATTTGTTTTTGGGAATTTCTATGCATGTCATTGGCTAGACTGTGAATTTTGTTGAGTGCTGGATAGTAACAGCACAGAGAGAACCAGACAGGAACCAGTCCAGAACAAGCAGAGTCATTGATTACACAGGACATGTAAAGACGGTTTCACCGTAAGACACAAGAACTCCATGCGATTGTGATCCCTCGCTTGTCCACTCGTCTCAATGTTGTGCAGGCGCATCAGCACTTTCTGCAAATTGCTCGCACTTTGCTTGCTAGATCAAATGCTAGTGATGATGATGCAATCAGGCCCTTGAAAGGAATTGTGGTGGGATTGGCAAGTGCTCCTATGCGAACAAAATGCATTAAGAAGTATGTCTGCGGACTAACTCCAGCATGACTGCACAACAGTACTGCTTCTACAGGGAAATCAATCAATATTCATCTGTCAAATCCGTTCCCAGCATGATTTGTGCTGCCAATCTCTGCCTGTGCAAGTTGTCATGCAAGCCCAAAGTTCTTCATCGAACAGCAGTTGGCAGCATCAGTTATGTAAATCAGGGTAGGCTGCTCCACCATAGCCCATTATGCATTTTCTGTAGTTAATGGTTTGGACACTGGCCTCAAGGTAAGGCCCTGGGGCTCTTGCCAAGCAAAATTTGGGTCTTAATCTGAGTGGCACGAAGCCATCATGGCCTGTCAATTGTTTTTAAAAGGGGGGGGAATGTGTGCTTTTCATTTTATGAAGAAAAATGATGTCGAGAATTTCTGTTGCGTAGAAATGTGAAAGATCTCAGTTTCGAATGGGGTGTCATTTCTCAGCCATTATTGTACATGCCTGTGTGCACTTGTCCGATCACAGGGTGGCATGAAGGCACTCAAAATTAGAAAAGGACTTCCACCTGCCTGCAGCAGTTGCTCAGTTCCCACCAAGAATCTTCTGCACCAGTCAAGACAAAGGACTGCCCATTCCAGTTTCCATTTTGCAGCCGCTGCCTGTAGGTTTGAAATATTGGCTGAAGAGTTGTGTGATGCAAACAGAGACTTGATGGCAGCAGCATCAAGTGCACCGTTCTTGGATCTCCCTTCAGGCAGGCGCAGCTCACATGAGATGCATAGCGCTGGCGTATCATACAGGGGTGTAACACGAGAAACATGGGGCCCACGACCGGTACGGATGCAAATTGCCCTCACCATGGAGTTGCTAAGAAACTACTGTTGTTTTCCACACAAATACAACCTCCCACCCACCCACCAACCCTCTTTTCCTCTCCTTTTCCCCTCCATAGTGATGTATCATTTATTGTCTTTTTCTGGCCATTGGGGAACTGCAGCACTTATTTATTGAACTATGTTCAGCCCTTTGTCATAGTGACACATGTTTGCCCTCGTTTGCTGTGTGACAAAGAGTTGACAGTGAAGCTCATGTGGCAAAATGAAAAGCAAAAACTAGTTGTTGAAGGTGATGGGACAACTTTATTGTGCTATCATGGATAATTGCCAGTTCATGTGCATCGAGGCCCTTTATGGGCCAAACGGGCAAACCGATTAATCTGCAGGAAGCCTTGCATAACCCCCAAGTGCAGCATGTCTGCACCCTGCAGAGTGGAACATCCAAACTGCCCTGCTTTCCTTTGATCTGCACCTGCAAATGGCCATGGTTGGTCACTACATTCGTATGCCAGCTTTGTGGCACGATCAGGAAGGACGCCTTTCATCACACCCTAATGCCAATTTGCTGTACTCCATTGGAGTGGACAAGGACTGTGGGACGATTGTGCATCCGCCAAATTTTGAGCTGTGGACTCTAGCGCCCATGGCTGGCCGATCGTCTGCAGTGCTGATGTTTCACCATGACCTCTGATGCGACCGAAAGGAACTGGTTCTAACATCCCCCAGCCCACCTCTGCTACCCCATTGAGCTGTGATGCCAAGCAGAAGACAAAATGGTAACACTCAATGGACAGAAAACTAGAGAATAGAATTGGAAAGCAGAGCTAAATGCCTGTGCAAAGTGCGCAAGCAGCACAATTAGTACGGTATTTCAATTTCTTGGCATTGAATTGGCTCCTGGATGATTTTGTTGCCAGCTTGGAAGTACAAATCTGAGCCAAGTAAGGTATGCGCAGTGCATCCCTCTGCTGGTCTCAGGCTCTGTGCTGGGTGCCGTGGCAAGTGCTTGAACGATTGATTATGAGTTTATTTTGACCTTCAGGCATCCATGCCACATTTTGAAGATTCATCAAAGCAGCAAGAGGAGTTGCTCCGGTGGCAGGCTGATGTTTTGCAGGCTGTCAGTGATATTGATCGTAAACAGCACAATAAGGAAGCTGTTGGTGTTCGAGTGGAGCTGACTTCACTTAGAGATATGCTCCAGAAGATGCCTGTGGGAGGAAATGGTGCCAGCTCCAAGACACTTGCAATAAATCCTGTTGCATCCAGAATTCGTGAGGAAGACAAGGACTCTGTTCTGGCAGATATTGGCAAATACACAAACCGACTTCTGAATATTGCAAATTGCAATGGGACGGACCCTGGCAGCAATGAAGAGGAAGGTAAACCTGCA